CTCAATTCATAAGGGTCATACTCCCTTTCCAATGCTGGCATTGCAGGTATGCACCATTATGTCCTGTTCTGTAATCTCTATTTTTAATCTATGGTGGCTTCTTAAAGTAAAGTTCTTTAATTTTTAATGTGATCAAATGCATCCACTTCTTGCTCTACAGTTTATATTTGTGAGGTTTCGTTTGAGATGTTTGTATTAGTTAGGGTTTCTATTACTGTGACAGAACACCATGAGGCAACCTATAAAAAAAAAGTACTTAATTGGGTTTACAGTTTCAGAAGGTTAGAGTCCATGCTGGCAGAGTAGACATGGTAGCAGGCAGCTGGAACAGGAGCTGAGTGATCACATCTCACAAGCAGGAAGCAGAGAGCACACTGGCAATGACTGTGAGTCTTCTAAAACCTTAAAGCCAGCCCTCAGTGACACACCTTTTCCAGCAAGGCCACACCTCCCAATCCTTCCCAAACATTTCTGCCAACTGGGGATCAGTATTTATTTATTTATTTATTTATTTATTTATTTATTTATTTATTTATTTATTTATAAATATATATGTGTATATATAAATATATATATGTATATATAAATATACATATATACTTGTATGCCAGAAGAGAGCACCAGATCTCATTATAGATGGTTGTGAGCCACCATGTGGTTGCTGGGAATTGAACTCAGGACCTCTGGAAGAATAGCCAGTGCTCTTAACCTCTGAGCCATCTCTCCAGCCCTGGGATCAGTATTTAAAGGTGAGCCTATGGGGCTATTTGAATTCAAACTTTCCTGCTGAGTGTGTGGAACACACCTGTAATTCCAGTATTCACGAGTAGAGACACAAGAATCTGGAGTTCAAAGTCAACCTGAGCTATGGAACAATACTCTGTGTCAAAAGAGGCTTTCCAACTCTGGAAATGCAGCCAGTGCTCTTAAGCACTGGACCATCTCTTCAGTCCCTTATCTTGGTCTCCTGCCTTAGTGTCACTAGTTCTGGGATTATGACCAATAAGTTCAGTGTATTTGTCTTGGGGTTTCTATGGCTTAGATAAAACACATGACCAAAAAACAAGCTGGAGAGGAAAGGGTTTATTTGGCTTACACTTCCACATCACTGTTTATCATCAAAGGAAGTCAGGACAGGAAATCAAACAGGGCAGGAACCTGGAGGCAGGAGCTGATGCAGAGGCCATGGAAAGATGCTGCTTACTGGCTTGTATAGCCTGCTTTTTTACAGAACCCAGGACTGCCAGCCCAGGGATGGCAACACCCACATTGGGCTGGGCCCTCCTCATCAATCACTAATTAAGAAAATGCCCTATAGGCTTGCCCACACCCTGATTTTATGGTGGCATTTTCTTAATTGAGGTTCCTTCCTCTCAGATGACTTTAGCTTATGTCAAGTTGACATAAAACTATCTGGCACAGTATTATCTCAATTTTACAGATAAGAAAATAGAGATTCCGAAAATTGACATTCACTATGCTAGGTTCATGTGCCCATTCCATGGCCTCTCATCCCACACAGCACTCTTGGCTTTTCAACTCATGGTCTGTTTACCCTCCAAGTTCACTGAAGGGACTGGGCAGTGGGGCAAGGTGAAACTCCATCATTCCTATCTCTCAGTGAGCACCAGCCTGGATGCAGAGATAGTTATTTGCTCTTCCAATTCAGATCTCATAATATTCTGTTTAAACAGGTAAGCCTAGTGTCAGCAATGGTTAGAAATTCTAAAACCAATGTTCTGTGCTGGATTTAAGTCACACGGGTAATAATTTACAGAATAGATCTGTGGGTGGTAGGAAAGCTGTAGAATCTATAATTATAACATACTCAGTTCAGCTAAATGATTAAGAAGTCAGTGAGCCTAGGTCCTCACAATATAAAAAGAAGCAGGGTGGTAGTGGTACACCTTTACTTCCAGCACTCGGGAGGCAGAGGCAGGTGGATCTTGAGTTCAAGGACAGCCAGGGCTACACAGAGAAACGAAAACAACAACAACAAACCAATATAAAAGAGTGTAGGTTATTTCCTTTCCTTTTCCTCCCTTCAGCAGAGCCTAGATTTTGTTTGGATAATGAATTTTCAGGTCAGCCATGTGTTCCTTATGATCCAGTCCTCGACTATTCATTTCATCTTATTCCCCTGACCATCAGTTGGTTTAAACATGGGCATTTACACTTCTCTGGCCGCACGGGGAGAAAAATTGCCGGGATGGTTTCTAGGAAGTGTCCTCCCTCCATGTCCCAGTCTTAAAGAGATATGTAAGTTTAATGGGGGCTTAAAGCATAAACATATATTGTGCCACTGTCCAGTCTCCCGCCTCCTCCAATCCTTCCCTGCTCACCAACTAGGCATCAAAGACAGAAAAATTATAGTATGGTGCATGGAAACCCATCTGAAACCAAGTATCGAATACAGATATAGCCCCAAATAGTGAGGGGCCCAGAGGCTATGGTCCAAAGGTGAGGGGGCTAGGCTATGGGAAGAGAGGATACAGCAGATTCACATAGGCATTAAACACGGGGGGCAGGCAGGAAGCAGGGTCCAGTGGGGGAGCGGGGACTCAAGGTGTGGCTGGAGCACAGGGGACAGCCAAGAAACAGAGAGATGAAAGGAAGGTGCTTTCCCGTGTTCCCTAAGAAAAGAGAAAGGAGGGAATCTTTTCCAGGTGGGAAAGGTACCCAAGTTACAGCCTGAGAAAACTTCTTTGTGGACAGTCAACTTAAGCAGGTGCAAAAAAAAAAATTATATTGGGCCTTTGGAATTTTTGTTTATTGAAGAATGTTAACAATATTATGAAGAACTATGCAGGATGGAGAGGCTGCTCAGTGGTTAGAGCACCTGCTGCTCTTGTGGAGGACCTGGATTCTGTTCACAGCTTACAACCGGCTGTAACTCCAGTTCAAGAGAATTCAGTGCTCTCTTCTGGCCTCCTAGGGCCCCAGGCATACACATGGTGCACATACATATGCGCAGACAAAATACACACATAAAATTTTTTAAAAAAATTTAAAGATCGGTATCCTAAAACTCTCATGCAGAAATACGCGTTTAAAATGAAAATACTAATTGCCGGGCGTGGTGGCGCACGCCTTTAATCCCAGCACTTGGGAGGCAGAGGCAGGCGGATCTCTGTGAGTTCGAGGCCAGCCTGGACTACCAAGTGAGCTCCAGGAAAGGCGCAAAGCTACACAGAGAAACCCTGTCTCGAAAAAACCAAAAAAAAAAAAAAAAAAAAAAAAAAAAAAAATGAAAATACTATCCTTCGGTTGGCAGCCATTCCCCAGCAGTATTCCCAGTGGGCCTGTTTGAGGGTTTCTTCCTTCTAGCATTACCTGCTGCTGGTGATGGGGGATGGAGATGCGGTGTAGTCACTGGGCTCGCTCAGGCTGTACAGGAGCTAGGGTTGGAATGATACAGGAACATGAGCGTGGTTCCTGCGCAAGGATGACGTACAAAGGAGTGAAACATTTTCATTAAAGAAAACAAATAGTTTGTCTCTATAGGACAAGTGACTCAACTTCTTTAATACATTTTTTTCTTAAGAGGAAAAAAAAAAAAAAGAATTGTGAACAGTGATCCAGGCACAGTAGTATATGTCTGCAATCCTAGCACTCTAGAGCCTGAGACATCAGGGTGGTGAGTTCAAGGCCAATGTGGGCCACTTAGTATGACATCATCTCAAAAACAAAACAAAATGAAACACTAGAATTATGAACCGTGAGGGTAAAACACACACACACACACACACACACACACACACACACACACACACCAGTTCAGGAATACCCTTGAGATCGATGAATGCATATCAACACATAGGAAACAGTAATCATTTCCCATTGTCTAGTTATTTAAATGTGGCTTTTGTCTCCATTTGAAACAATGACCTACCCCAAAATAAACAGTGAAAAGGATCTACAGTGAAAGAGTGTATGTCCCACTACCCCTGAGCCCCAGAATCTTGTTTTCTTTCCTAATGACAAGTAGAGTTTCCAGTTTTAAAAAAGGAATATACTGCGTGAATGCCTTCACAGATATACTTGTTACATTACATCAGGTAATCTGTTGTGTAACAAATTACCCAGAATTCAAATTACCCAGAATTTTATTAGTGCCAAACAACAAGCATTTTTTTTTTTTTGTTTATTTGTTTGTTTTTAACCTCCCATTCCCTCTACTTCAGACCTGAGCTGGCTCTAGTGAGGACTTCCTGAGGCTGGCTGGCACGTTGCCAGCTGGTGCAAATCCTCTCTCTGTAGGTCTGCTGAGACCCCTGCTGGCCGGGCAAAGCTCCTCACTGGCTATTGGACAGGCAGTTTTGTTTGGTCTCTGGCTTTTAGCCGGAGACTTCCTTCAGGTTTTTGCTACATGGGCTTCTCAATAGGAGCACAGGACATGGCTTTATCAGAGCAAACGGGGGGGGGGGGGGGGAGCAGGACAAGCCAAGGGATTTTTTTTTTTAACCTGATCTTGGATGGACAGCCTGTCACTGTTGTTAGGGTCAGTTTGTTAGAGGCAAGTCATCAGGCTGAAGCACCAGTCAAGGGAAGGGAATCCAACGAGGGGCTGATCTAGGTTGGAGGCCATCAGGGGCTGCCTGCCACACGTGTACTGTATTTTTATCTACAAGTGCATTTCAGATGCATGTCCACGTCCACACTTCCTCACGCAGCTGCCGTTTCCAAGCCGCTCGTTCAGGAAGACCTCTCCCTGTAACGCTGTCACGGCATCTCAAGCCCGTTCCACACAGCGTTCTTCGGATGCGTGGCCATAACGGAAAGTCCCATATTGGCAGGCTCTGGGTTGTTGGCCACACAGTGGCTTCTCAGCGTGTGTTACATGTTGATAGCTGTGGCCAAATTGCCAGTAGGGGGAGGTTGAGCCAAACTGGCAAACCTAAAGCAAGGATTCAGGTCTGCTTTATCCACAGCATCTCTCTACAGATTCCAACGACAGGGGAAAAGTGAAAACCTAAAATTCAAAGCTCCTAGACTGGACAAACTGGGGCACTTAATTTTTATTAGCTAAACGAGGAGCAAGACTCTGCTCTCCGTTTAATTGGATCTGGGTTTACCCAGGGATTCTTTTCCTATTATTCAAGTAAGAGCTGCAAGTGGTGCTCACGCCTGCAATCTCAGCAGGTAGGAGGCCAGCTATGCTGGCAGGGAGGTGGCTATCAGGAGTTTAAGGCCACACAGTGAGATGCTGTCTCAAAATGATGATGATGATGCTAGAAAATAAAGAACACACGCAGATAATAACAGTAAGGATCCTTCAGTGCAGGCCTTGGTGTACCTGGTGATCCCTCTGGTTCCAGTAACCATAACCTGAAATAACATTTCTTACTGAGGTTGCTGGGTTTCTTAGGGGTACTCTTATTTCTTAGGGGTCAGCTTATTAGATTCAAACTTTATGGGATGTGGCGCTAGATGCTGTCAAACCGAGTTGATACTGAATATTTACTTTGGAAATGTTGCACCTTTGGCCATTTTTGTTTTTCCTCCTAATCTTTAAGGCATGGGAAAGACAGAGGCTGCCGGGTGGAGGCTGCAGGTGGATGCCTCCGATCCTCCAACTGTCCTTCACGTAGAAGGGCTTTTTCTACAACCCGTCCGCGTCTGTGTGTGTCACACGGAGAAGTGTTGGCCAACCGGTCCATCGCTGAACTCTCCTCCAGGTTAAAAAAGCGTGTTGCACCTCGAATGAGGATGGAGTTGGCTGTTCTGTGCCTTCAGGGACACGGAGGGGACGTTGACTCTTTGTGGGCTGTTCCTGAGGCCTCCTGTGTTGTGCTTTCCTTCCACAGGGTGACTTTGATTCCTCACTCTTTCTTCACAGGAGTCACTTTTCAAGTGCCTGGTCGCACTGATTCCGCTCCTCTAAACATGCGTCCAAGACCCAGAAAGGTGTGGAGTGCAAACTAGCAGGCTTTCCGTGGGTCCCCATACCATAGTAGGACTTAGTTACTGTGATTAGAAACAGTTGACCGGGGGCTCACAGTTTCAGAGGGTGAGTCCATGGCCGTCATGGCCGGGAGCGTGGCTACAGCCTGCCAGCCATGATGCCGAAGCAGTAGCTGAGACCTTACCTCTTGAGACAACAACTACCTGAGGCAGAGATGGGAGTGGAGGATGGGGGAGGGGAGCGACGGGGGCGGGGAGTGGGAACACAGAGAGGAGAGAGGTTCTGCCATTTATATAGTGCAACATGGATGGACCTTGAGGACAGTCTGGAAAGTAAATAAGCCAGTCGCCAAAGAACAGATACTGCCACACCTGTAGTTTTTACAAAAGGAGCTGAGACAGGAGGATTGTTCAAAGTTTGAGGCCAGCTTAGGCTAAAGAGTAAGAGTCTGTCTCAAAAAAAAAAAAAAAAAAAGGACAGATATTGTAAGAATCCACTTACATGTGGTGTCTACAGTGATCGTGTAGACACAGCAAGGCTGATGGGAAGAGGGAATGGGAACTTGGCTTTAATTGGCTAATTTTTATTATTATGTGCTTGCATGCCATGGCGCATGTGTAGAGGTCAGAGAGAAGCTCTCAGGAGCTGACCCAGGGATCCACCTCAGATCACTGATGCTTCTACCCACTGGGCTACCTTGCCGGCTTATTATTTTTTTAAACATGGTATCTTGCTACGCTGCCAGGCTGCTCTCAGGCCCCTTGGTGTAGACATGCCTCCTGGCTTAGGTCCCCCAGTAGCTGGGCCTCCAGGCGTACACCATAGCACCTTACCGTGGTTATCACTGAGTGGATAAAGAGAAGGAGAAAAAGGTCTAGAGATGAGTAGTAGTGATGGCTATAGAACAATATGGATGTGCTCATGGCCACTTAGTTAAAATGAGGGGCTGGAGGGGTGGCTCAGTGGTTAAGAGCACTGGCTGCTCTTCCAGAGGACCTGGGTTCAATTCCCAGAATCCGTATCAGGCAGCTCACGGGAGATTGAACATCTCCATAGACACCTGAACTAGCACGCACCTGTACACACATATATATGAAATTGAAAATTTTTAAAAAATTTCGAAAAGCAAAGTTAAAATGGTAAATTCTATTATGTGTTTCCACCACAATTGCGTTAAACCTTACCGCTCCCAATAGCATCTCTACACATAGGAAAAATGTCTGCCGTTTGTCTGACCCCTGTTTTCCATCCAGTCTATGGTTAATTTGGGCTCACCACCTCTTCCCATCCTTAAGTCTTTGTTTATTCCACAGAGAACCTTTTGGATCCATTTATACAACGGAGGACTGCTTCCCCGGACATACTCCGACCGAAAGTGGGCACCTAACGTGATTTCAGAAACCTACTTTGTGTAGGGGTGAAAATGAGAAGATGAGGTTGGCAGCTCTAAGGCTGTCTTCTCCCCCATAGCCACTGCTGGTAAACACGAGGCTACCCTGCTGGAGTAGCCAGTGGAGACTTAGAACAGGCTCCACTGCTGGGAGACCCCTGTTGTTCTCTCACATAACTTTGCTACCCTGACTATTTTATAGACTTTTCGAAATGGACACCTATCATATTGTGGTTTTTGTTCTCTCTTTCTTTGAAAATCACATCTAACCTCCCCTCTGAGTTATTTTCCATTAAGCACAATTTTCAGCCTCAGAACAGGCCCAGTTACTCAATGACAGCTTGGCCAACAAGGATAGGATATTAGAAAGATTCAGACTTGGGCTGGAGAGATGGCTCAAAGGTTAAGAGCACTGGCTGTTCTACCAGAGGTCCTGAGTTCAATTGCCAGTAACCACATGGTTCACAACTATCTATAATGAGATCTGGCGTCCTCTTCTGGCATACCGGCATACATGCAGACAGAACACTATATGTAATAAATAAATAAATCGTAAAAAAATAAAATAAAAAACTGTTAAAAAAAAAAAAGAAAGAAAGATTCAGACTTATAATGATGAGCACGTCAAGAACATCAGTCTCTCTCCCAGAGGTTCCTGGTGTCTTCACAGAAAACTTGGTGGGGTGCTGAATGTGGTGGTGCATGCCTTTAATCCCAGTGCTCAGGAGATAGTCAGGCAGATCTCTGTGAGTTCAAGGCCATCCTGGTCTATAGAGTGAGCCTCCATTTTATGGATGAAAGAAAGCCAGGCGGTGGTGGTGCACACCTTTAATCCCAGCACTTGGGAGGCAGAGGCAGGCAGATCTGTGAGTTCAAGGCCAGCCTGGTCTACAGAGTGTCTTCCAGAACAGCCAGGGCTACACAGAAAGACCTTGTCTTGAAAAAGATAAAGAAAGAAAGTCAGTTTGGTGAGTGATTTTTTTTTCTTTGCCCTTAGCAGTGACACCATGTGGCAAGGCAGTGCTCAAAGCCCATGGAGCCTGTTTATGTAGAAATCCCACCATTCTCAGAGTGCAGCCTATCTATGCAGAAATCCCACCATTCTCAGAGTGCAGCCTGTCTATGCAGAAATCCCACCATTCTCAGAGTGAAAAAGGTCTCCATCTTTCTCTGGGAGGCTTGTAGCAAGTCCTGCGAGTCAGTCCTTACATACACTATCCCTTTGTTGTTTGTTTTGAGAGGGTCTTGTATAGACAGCCTAGTCTTGAACTCTTTATGTAGCTGAGTATGACCTTGAACTTCTTATCTTCCTGCTTTCACCTCCCAAGTGATAGGATTTTAGGCATGTGCCAAAGTGCCTGGTTTCTGTGGGGCTGGGGATTGAACTTAGGACTTCGTGCATGCTAGGCAAGCACTCTCCCAGCTCAGCCACACCCCCAGCTCCCAGAGATGCAAACAATTTTGTTTGTTTGTTTGTTTATTTACATGTGTACATGTACATGCCACAGCTTGAAGGAGTTGGTTTTCTTCTTCTGCCAGTTGGGTTTCAGGGTTCAGCCCAGGTCAGCAGGCTCAGCAGCAAGTGCCTTTACCTGCTGAGCTTTCTCCTTAGAGATGCAATCTTTAACAGATTTATTTTATGTGTATGAATGAATATTTTTGCCTGTACGATGTCTGTGAACCATGTGCATGCCTGGTGCCCACAGAGGCCAGAAGAGGGCATTAGATCCCCTAGAACTGGAGTTACAGATGGTTGTGAGCTGCCATGTGGATGCTAGAAATTAAACCCATGTCCTCTGGAAGAGCAGCCACTGCTTGTAACTTCGAGGCATCTCTCCAGCTCCCAGAGCTGCAAACTTAAGAGCTGGCCCAACATTCCCTGAGATTCAGCAGTGTCCATCATCACATTTCTCCCCAGTTCTACCTGTACTTCCTCAAGCCCTTCTTTGGTATTGATTTAATTTGATAAAAGATGCTTATTGCTTGTTGTGTGGTACTTAGCCTGGTCCAGGCCCTTCAGATACAGCAGTGGGTGTACCTCAGCCTACAACTCCAAGTCCTACACTCTTATTGTGTCCTCTTGATCCCAGGAGGCCCTTTGATGACACCAACCAGTCTCTTCTCATCTTCCCTGGAACACGTCTGTGACCCATTGAGATTTTTAGTAATGATTATAGAACCTCGATGGTTAGAGAAGACTGTTATTGATTAGGACCATTCCATGTCAGTTCTCTGGTTCGGGTTCAAATGCCATGCCTGCCAGGGACAAAATATAGATATGGAGATTTCATTATAGCTGCTGTGGACTGAAGTATGGCTCTTCAAGTGGTCCTAATCCCCTGTTATTCAAATATTCTAGTGTATATGCCAAGAGGACTTTGTGGCAGTGACAAGTCCCTTTTAGATGATCCTGGATTGTCACAGTGGCCCTGGGTTCACAAGAGTACTTACAATGTGTGATCCTAATTAGTCTTAACAATAAAAACCCGGAGTCAAATATCAAGGGTGAAAGTTGAAAGGTCAGAGAAGCAGATCAGCTAGCCACTAGAGACTTCTTACTTCTACGAATCTTCAGACTGAATGGGCTCAAGATCCTATCTTCACCTCCCTAGTGCTGGGATTAAAGGCATGAGCCTCCCAAGTGCTGGGATCAAAGGCTTGAGCCTCCTATATGCTGGGATCAAAGACATGTGCTACCACTGTCTGGCTTCAATGGTTAACTAGTGGCTAGCTCTGCCCTCTAATCTCCAGGCAAGCTTTATTTGTCAGAATACAAACAAAATATCATACAACGTTCTTATAAGAGAGAGAGACAGTTTGGCTGGAGAGATGGCTCAATGGTTAAGAACACTGGCTGACTGAGAGTAGATTGGAGGCACCCAGAAAGACCAGAGGGAGATGCTGTCTCAGCCAGGAATGGCTATGTAACTACAGCCCAGTGCAAAATGAAAAGGTGGGTTCCTGTTTACAAGATACAAAACAAAATCTCATAAAATATTATGATGGTGACAGCCAAGTATATGTGTAGGTCACATGGCTCTGATTAAAATGGACAGCTTGCTCTACAACAGCTTTCTGAAAAATAAAGTCCCAGGCAGAAGGATTAAAAAAAAACAAAAACAAAACAACAAACAAACAAAAAACCCACTGGCTGTTCTTCCAGAGGACCTGGGTTCAATTCCCAGCACTCACATGACAGCTCACAACTGTCTGTAACTCCAGTTCCTGGGGATCTGACACCTTCACACCAATGCACATAAAATAAAGTTATGAGAGAGAGAGAGAGAGAGAGAGAGAGAGAGAGAGAGAGAGAGAGAGAGAGAGAGAGTGTTTAAGGATAAGGTACATGTTAGAAAAATGCTGTACTGCTGGCTTTGAAGCTGGAGGACTGGGCCACTAGCTGAGGAGTATAGGTGAACTTCATTCAGAAGTTGGAAAAGGGAAGGAATAGATTCTCCTCCAGAACAGGGCTTTTTAGACTTCTGACAACCAGACTGGTAAGATGGTGAATTTGTGTTGCTAATAAACCACAGACTTGGTGCTTACTTGTTACAGCAGCAATAGGAAACCCTACCTGCTTCTACCTATCTTCCTGCTCTGCCTTCCACACTGCTGCTTCTTACAGGTCCAGCGTAGGAGCCTCTACATTTGTTCCTCTGGCTCCAGAGCCATCTTCACACAGCCTGTTACCCTGTTTAGCAGGGTCATCTGATCACTGGCACTCTTTAGCACCTTCTCACAGTCCCTACGATGTCTGTGTTTGTTTTAAATCATCAGGTTTTTCTTTCTTTTCTTTTCTTTTTTTTTTTTTTTGGTTGTTGTTCCATAGTTTGACAAAACAAATCAATATATAGTCAGTTGTATTAGTTACTTTTCCTTCTCACTGCTGTGACAGGATTCCAGACAAAAGCTGCTTAGGGAAGAAAGGCTCCATTCTGGCTCACAGTTGGAAGGGATCCAATCCATTCTGGCAGGGAAGCATGGCGGTGGGAGTGTGCGGTGGCTGGTTAACACTGTTAGGAAGCAGAGAGAGATATGAATGCCAGTGCTCAGCCCACCTCCTCTTTTCCCCCTTTTTATTCCGTTCAGGACCCCAGCTCATGGCGAGGGACTAGGAGTTTGATAGTGTATGGGATACGCAGGTAGATGGGGAGAGGGCCCATGAATATATAACGAAGATGGTAAACTTCCACCCTCCTGACCTGGCAGCTTAGAACAGAGGCCTGGTAGGCTCTTCTATCTGTGGACAAATTCAAGGCCAGATCAGGAAGTTGTCCACCCCCCAACCCTCCCACCCCCGAGACAGGGTTTCTCCATGTAGTTTTGGTGCCTGTCCTGGATCTCGCTCTGTAGACCAGGCTGGCCTCGAACTCACAGAGATCCACCTGGCTCTGTCTCCCAAGTGCTGGAAATAAAGGCGTGTGCCACCACCGCCCAGCCCAGATCAGGGAGTTTTACTCCAAACTTGACCTGTTAGTTTCCCCAACTTTGCTCTAAATGGGGTGAGGAAGTCCCCCTCAAAGACCCTAAAATCCTCAGTCCTCAAGGAGAGACGAGGCTTCCTGAGCCTCTTTGCTATCTGATGTGGTTGTGTCTGAGACACCCCCTCTCCCGCCCCGCACCCCGGTTTCTCTGTGTAGCCTTGACTGTCCTGGAACTCACTCTGTAGACGAGGCTGGCCTGGAATGCAGAGATCCGCCTGCCTCTGACTCCTGAGTGCTGGGATTAAAGGTGTGCGGTACTTGCCTGGCTCCCTCCTCTTAATTATTTAACTGGCATAGAAAATAAAGCTGATCAAGACTTCCAGACAGTGACAATGGGACGGTGCCACCCACATTCAGGATGTGGAATTCTGGAAACTCCCCTGTAGACACATGCAGAGGTGAGTTTCCATGGTAACTCTAAATCCAGTCAACTCGACAATGAAGATGAACCACAATTCAACACACAACCCCAAAGTCATCCTCATCCTCATAAAACCACTGAAAGCATTCTTGTTAAAGTCAGGAACAAGACAAGGCTGTCCACTAACACCATCTGATCCCATTACTCTCCATGAGTTACACAGGAAGGGGGAAAGATTTCAAAAAAGAGGGACGAGAGAGCCGGGTGGCGGCGGCGGCGGCACAGGCCTTTAATCCAGGCACTTGGGAGGCAGAGCCAGATCTCTGTGAGTTTGAGGCCAGCCTGGTCTACAGAGTGAGTTCCAGGACAGGCACCAAAAAACTACGCAGAGAAACCCTGTCTCGAGGAAAAAAAAAAAAAAAAAAAAAAGAAAAAGAAAAAAAAGAGGGACAAGAGGAAGTGAACTAGTTATGACTTGAAAGTGTTACCACTGTATTTCTGGAAGCTTGAGAAAAGAAACTGACGAACTGCACAAATAAAGGAATTTGGGGAGCTGGTTCAGTGATTCAAGTGCTTGCTGTGTCCAAGTTTGGATTTCTAAGCACCCCCACAAAAAGCCAGCTGAAGCGGTATGTATGCAGAGTCTGGCAGAAGGGAGGACACTTGCCCGCCAGACTCTCAAGGTGGCTGCAGGATCGTGAGAACTGAGAACACGGTGCAGTGGTGGAGCGCTTGCTTGCCTGCACAAGGTCTTGTGTTCAATTCTTACCAAGGAAGGAAAGCCTCTTGAATTAAAGTATTATCAGCTGAGCACTACTGTAGGTCTTAACTTTGAGGGCTTTTTTGGGGGGGTCCCAGGAATCAATTCAGGATCTTGTGTGTGGCAAGCAAGGGCTCTACTACTGAGCTACCCTGTTAGCCTGGAACAATTGTACTCAAGATCTCTTTCAAACTATAGATTCCACAATCATTTTTTTAAAATTTATTTTTATTTATGTGGTTTGTCTGCCTTGTGTGTGCTGGTGGCTTGAAAGGCCCGAAGAGCACATCAAATCTTCTGCAGTTGGTGTTACAGGTGGTTGTGAGCCATGTTGTCATGGACGCTGGGATTCAAATCACAGTTCTCTGGATAGCAGAAAGTGCTCTTAACCACTGAGTCATCTCTCCAGCCCTGTACCATTTATATTGTTAAATATAGTCTATATCCTCTTTCCCATTTTAAGAAACAAAATATAAGGGCTGGGTGGTGGTGGCGGCGGCGGCGGCGGCGGCGGCGGCGGCGGCGGCGGCGGCGGCAGTAGCAGCAGCAGCAGCAGTGCACGCCTTTAATCCCAGCTCTCAGGAGGCAGAGCCAGGTAGATCTCTGTGAGTTCAAGGCCAGCCTGGTCTATAGAGTAAGTTCCAGGACAGGCTCCAAAGCTACCCAGAGAAACCCTGTCTCAAAAAAAAAACAAAACACAACACAACACAACACAAAACAAAAAAACCAAAAAGATGGGGTTGGAGATTTAGCTCAGTGAGAGAGCGCTTGCCTAGCAAGCGCAAGGCCCTGGGTTCGGTCCTCAGCTCTGAAAACAAACAAACAAACAAATATTTGGGGGCTCCTAAAAGTGTGGAACCAAGGCACTGGGCCCTCTGTTCTGCCTCTCTGATTTCAGCTCTGGCCATTGCCTGGAGACTTGAATATGACTTAGACTGTCCCACATTGAACACATGCAGGCTTCATGAGGAAAATTTGTCTACCATATACATGGTGGGGTCCTGGTCAACTGAGGTGTGCAGCTCCTGTCTCGAAGTTGCAGTAGCTCATCTTAACTGGACTGTCCCCTAGAATTGCCAGTCTTTCCCATTTTTTAAGAAAAGCTGAGTTTTATGTAACATCTCCCAATTTTAAAATGTTAGATCAAATTTCAAAGAAAAAAATTATTAAGCTAGACAAAACGCCGGGCAGTGGTGGCACATGCTTTTAATCCCAGCACTTGGGGAAACAGAGGCAGGCGGATCTCTGTAAGTTCAAGGCCAGCCTGGGCTACAGAGTGAGTTCCAGGACAGGTTCCAAAGCTACACAGAGAAACCCTGTCTCGAAAAACAAAACAAACAAACAAAAAACAAAACAAAACAAAACAAACAAAAAAAAAAGCTAGACCATTTTGATGGACTGTCTTTGGTACTACTTTGTAACTTAAAACAACCATCGCAGGGGGAACTGAACAAGTGGCAGCTGTGAGAACCAGAGAGTTGACATTCAAGGAAAAGTGGTGTTTGGTGTCATGGCGGAGCAGCAAGGCCAGGAGCAGTGAATTGTGTGGTGCTTTTCACTTACATGCAGCTCTGGTTAGCAGTAACTACGAGTCAAATTCTGAGTTTGAGGCTCTGCAAAAGTCTACTTGGGTTAATTAATGCGCCATCCTCCTTAGTTTGCAGTGGAATAACCAGGCCAAGGTGACATGGTTTAAATGCACTAAGGATAACTGTTTAGAACTGTGATTTGGAAGTCTTCAGAGCAGACTTAACTGGTCTTAATGAAGACCTGTCTTACTTCCATCAGGACACATTTTTACAAGTTGCTCTGGGCCTTACTCTGCATTCTTTTATTTTATTTTTTTAAATATGTAGGGGTGAACATTCAGTACAAATTTTTTTTATTTTAGAGAGATTATAACAAATTCTTCCCTTTCCCTTCCTCCCTCCAAGTCCTTCCATACGCCCTTTTCTGCTCCCTTTCAAATTCATGACTTTTTCTCACTGTTACTACGAATATGTGTGTATGTGCACATATAACCTGTACACACACACACACACACACACACACACACACACACACACACACACCCTGTTTGGTCTGCATAATGTTACCTGTACATATGTTTTCAGAGCTGACGGTTTGGCACTGACAACCAGCTGGTGTGTTCTTCTCTGGGAAAACCCACCTCTCCCATCCCCGGCTTTCCCTGAGCACCTACAGTTCTCTGTGCAGCATTCAGATCTCGTGAGCTTTTCTCTGTCCAGTTTGGCCCAGTCACTGGTGTCATCCTTGGTCGGGGCAGTCCCATTGGGGAGACTGTGGGGTAGCTTCTGATATTACAGTCTCACAGCAAACTCCAGACCCTCCGGCTCTTAGCCTCTCTTCCTGCTCTTTGCTGTGTCCCCGCAGCCTTAGGTGGAGAGTGTTTTGTATGTATACACTGGGACTGGGCTCCACAACTCTGCAGTCTGGTTGCTTGTGATTTTCTGAAGTAAAAATTATTTTCAAAGTAGGGGCTTGGGGGTTTGACTGAGGAGCGGCATATATCCACACATTCCAGGCAGCTGGTGGGCCTACCGGAACACCCCTTCCCAAATCTTCCTCTGCTCAGGGGATGATTTCACTTTCTTTTTTCCCTCAGAGACAGGGCTTCCCAGTGTAGTCCTGGCTGTCTTAGAACTGACTCTGCAGACCAGGCTGGCCTCAACTCAGAGATCCACCTGCCACCATGCTTAGAGATGATTTCACTTTCTAATCCTAAACAATTAGGATCTAATGTGACAAACTCTAGTTGGAAAATTACGGGTTCCCATGGAAACAGAAACAGGTTTCCAACAGGCTTGGCTGGGGAGGGAAGTCTGTCAACCTTCCCAAAGGAAGTGATATCTTTAGTGAGTGTAAAAAATTAACTAGATTTCAATTACAGGCAAAGGTCAGATTGAGAGAAGAGGCTCAGCATTGAAGATGTGTGACAGGCTCTGAGAATGGAGATCACTCAGCTGGGCTGCAAGGTACAGAAGAGCAGTCTACTGTCATTTCATGGATAGCAACCGTTACTTTCACGGGCTCGCTGTTATTATAGCTTCCACCCTTACTGCCTCGCTCGCTTATTCCTCAGGGCCTGGCACCAGATTCTACTGACCTTTTTAGAGAGTCTGACAAATAGCCTCCTATTCTAAGTGTTTCCCTGACCCCCTTCACCATACCCCCATCAATCAAAAGATAAAATTCAGCTTCTGCGTGGCAAATGTTCTGGCTTCTGTGAATCTGTCATCTCCTCACCCTATTCCCACTCTCAGAGTTAATCATTTCTTGCAGTCCCTCCCCTCCTGGTCCTCTCTTCAGCATCAACTGTGCACAGGGTTACTTTGCTGTCTCCTTGTTTGCTGTCCTTGTCCCCAAGTTTTGCACTGTACAGTGTTATATTTATCTGTTTTGGTAAGTCACAACACTGTGCAGGCTTTCATATATTAAAAACAGCAGGGCTTGTGGGGCGGTGGTGGTGCATGTCTTTAATCCCAGCACTCAGGAGGCAGAGCAGGCAGAGCTCTGAGTTTGAGGCCAGCCTGGGCTACAGAGCAAGTCCCAAGACAGCCAAGGCTACAGAGGAACTCTTGTCTTGAAAAATCAAAAACCAAACCAAACCAAGTCAACCAACCAACCAAACAAACAAACAAAAAAATGCAAGGCTCAAATAATGAACTAGGAACAAGTCAGGAAGCCTACACTGCAGCATTCACATCACATCTCTCCTTAAACCTGCTGCATCCTGAGAATACGATTCTAACTTACAACCACACGAGTGACCTGGGAGTGTCCCATGTGAACTTGTTCCTATCCCCTCCCTACACCTGGTCAACTTGACCTTCATGGTGACTTGTACAATGGATTGTACGAACATATTCCATAAGGCTTTTACTTTAACTACTTCTACCTGGGATGCCTTTCCATTTTCTCTTCTCCTTAGGATGCTTTTCCATTTTCCCACTTGATTCCAGACTGACCTTCTCAAGCAAGCTTTCCTTTGAATCCTGAGCCTGACTAAGAACTCTCAAAGAGCTGGGCGGTGGTGGCACACACCTTTGATCCAAGCACTCAGGAGGCAGAGGCAGGGGAGTTCCAGGCCAGCCTGGTCTACAAAGCAAGTTCCAGGACAGCCAGAATTGTTACACACAGAAATCCTGTCTCGAAAAACAAAACAAAACAAACGAGAAAACAAACAAAAACCAAAAAACAACTCTCAAAGAATGACATGCTCAAACACACACCTTTAATCCCAGCATTCGGGAGGCAGAGGCAGGTGGATCTCTGAGCTCGAGGCCAGTAAGGTCTACAAAGCAAGTTCCAGGATGGACAGGGCTATAAAGAAACCTTGTCTCGGGAACTCCTACAGCTGATAAACTCCTTCAGTAAAGTGGCAGGATACAAGATCAACTCAAAAAAATCAGTAGCCCTCCTATACACAAATGATAAAAGGGCTGAGAAAGAAGTCAGAGAAACATCACACTTTACAATAGCCACAAATAATATAAAATACCTCGAGATAACACTAACTAAACAAGTGAAGGACCTTTTTGATAAGAACTTTAAATCTCTAAAGAAAGAAATTGAAGAAGATATCAGAAAAGGGAAGGATCTCCCATGCTCATGGATAGGTAGGATTAACGTGGTAAAAAATGGCAATCTTACCAAAAGCAATCTACAGATTCTATGCAATCCCCATCAAAATCTCAACACAATTCTTCACAGACTTGGAAAGAAAAATACTCAACTTCATATGGAAAAACAAAAGACCAAGGATAGCTAAAAGAATCCTGTATAATAAATCCTGTATAATAAATAATATGATGCCTGGAGGCATCACCATCCCTGACATCAGGCTCTACTATAGAGCTATAGTAATAAAATACTATATTTTTTTGTGCTTGGTACTGGTATAAAAACTGACATACAGACCAATGGAATCGGATTGAAGACCTGACATTAATCCACGCACATATGAACACCTGTTTTTTGACAAAGAAGCCAAAACTATACAATGGAAAAAAGAAAGTATCTTCAACAAATGGTGCTGGCATAACTGGATGTCAATATGTAAAAGATTACAAATAGATGCATATCTGTCACCATGCACAAAACTCAAGTCCAAGTGGATCAAAGACCTCAACATAAATCCAGTTACACTAAACTTAATAGAAGAGAAAGTAGAAAGTACTCTTGAATGCATCGGCACAGGAGATCACTTCCTAAATATAACACCAGCAGCAGAGACACTGAGCACAACGATTAATAAATGGGACCTCTTGAAACTGAGCTTTTGTAGGGCAAAAGACACAGTCAATAAGACAAAAAGACAGCCTACAGAATGGGAAAAGACCTTCACCAACCCCACATCTGATAGAGGACTGATCTCCAAAGTATATAAAGAACTCAAGAAACTAGACATCAAAATAATGAACAATCCAATTAAAAACTGGGCTAAAGAGATAAACAGAGAATTCTCAAAAGAAGAATCACAAATGGCTGAAAGACATTCAAAGAAATGCTCAACATCCTTAATCATCAGAGAAATGCAAATCAAAACGACTCTGAGATACCACCTTACACCTGTCAGAATGGCTACGATCAAAAACACCAATGACAGCCAATGTTGGAGAGGATGTGGAGCAAAGGGAACACTCCTCCACTGTTGGTGGGAATGCAAACTTGTACAACCACTGTGGAAATCAGTATGGCGATTTCTCAGAAAATTGGGAATTGATCTACCTCAAGACTCAGCCATACCACTCTTGGGCATATACCCAAGAAATGCTCAATCATATCACAAAGATACACGCTCAACTATGTTCATAGCAGCACTATTTGTAATAGCCAGAACCTGGAAACAACTGAAGAATGGATTAAGAAAACTGAAGAATGGATTAAGAAAATGTGGTACATATACACAATGGAGTACTACTCAGCAGAGAAAAACAATGACAGCATGAAATCTGCAGGCAAATGGATGGAACTAGAAAAAATCATCCTGAGTGAGGTAACCCAAACCCAGAAAGACAAACATGGTATGTACTCATATAAGTAGATTCTAGATGTAAAGCAAAGAACAATTAGACTGCAACCCACAGAACCAGGGAGGCTATATAGCAGGGGGGACCATAGGATGACTGTGGCTTATAATAATTTTTGGTTTTACTCAATTACTGGGCAAGCCTCAATGAAACATTTCATTCACTATTAGGGTAAGAATTTATGCCTTATTAAGCTGATAATAGATAAATAAATAAATAAATGAATAAATAAATAAACCCTGTCTTGCCGGGCAGTGGTGGTGCACGCCTTTAATCCCAGCACTAGGGAGGCAGAGGCAGGAGGATCTCTGTGAGTTCCAGGGCAGCCTGGTCTACAGAGTGAGTTTCGGGACAGGCTCCAAACCTACACAGAGAAACTCTGTCTCAAAAAAAAAAAAAAAAAAAAAAAAAGAGAGAAAACAAAACAAAACACAACCCAAAAAACAAAAAAGCCCCCGTCCCGAGAAACAAAAACCAACTAAGCAACAAACCCCAAACAAACAAAAACCAGGAGCATGGTGGCCCAAGACGGTAACCCCAGGACCCAAGGCTGAGAGACAAGAGAATCAGCAGTTCAAAGCCATCTTCTGCTACACCGCTTTAGTGACTATGCTCTACAAAAGCAGACGCTGGCTGCAGATGGCTCAGAGGGTAAAAGGCGCTTGCTGAGGAAACCCGCCCACCTGAGTTAGGTCCCGGGATCCCAACGTGGTGAAAAGGTGAGCAACAACCGCACATTATCCCTCTAACCGCCACTCGGTTGCTACGGCGTGCCTGCACTACCAAGTAAAAATAAATAATTTACACATACGCTCGATTTATAACACCGTCTCTACGATTTTTTTAAAAAATTATTTCAGTCTCTGCAGGGGTACCATGCTCAGACGTCCTGAACAGTTTTTATCCGATCATCCTCAGGTTGGGCCAAATGCTTTTTCTCAACTCTGCAGTCACCACCACCAGCTCACTGCCCAGCATTTTAACGTGAGCAGATTGCCAATCTGCCTTCCCACCAAGGTCTGAGAGCTCCCCAGGGGCCGTGGCGCAAACAAGTGTCTCGCCCGTCAGATCTATTTTCTGCGCGGAGCCGCGCGGCCCACGTGGCTTCTGCAGTTCTTTTAAGCAGCAGCTTCCTTCCCGCCCCAGGAAGTAGAACCCGCTCGCATCTAACACCGGTTGGCTCGAGAAAGAAAATGACTGAGTTATCACTTGGCCTTGAAAGTCGGGTCAAGGAGATTCCCTAAATTCCGCGGCGCCTGTAACGTGACTTGGACGCCGCCGCAATTCACCGGAAGACGAGCGGAGTGGGCGGGGCGCGCGAAGCGCCGGGACACGGAAGTCACCCGGGACGGCGCGCCGGAGAGTTCTGTATTTCGGCAGTCGCTTATTTCAGCCTGGCTGGAGTCTGGCGCGCTCGGCGGCGATCTGCTCCCTCGGTGCTCGACTCACCCGCGCTGCTGCCTCCGCTGAAGGAGGAGCAAAGCTCAAGATGGCCGACAAAACGCCAGGCGGATCGCAGAAGGCCAGTTCAAAGGTAGTTTCTTAGGGATCTCCGTCAGTCAGCGGGTCTTCCGCTGTGGTCTGGGGCCCCCAGAAACCTGTGGCCCTCGAGAGCTTACTGGGGTGAGGGCCGGAGGCCTGTTGGCCACCGTGGGCCTGGCACCGCTGCACCAAGGTGCGCAGGTGGAGAGGCCTGAGAGCGCGCGTCCGTCCCGGCCGGGATTCAGCCCCACACTAACGTGCCTGGGGGCGGTGGCCAGCGGGGCTCGCCCCTCTTTTGACTTTGGGGTCAGACCGGTGGTCGAGACACTGCTTCGGCGTCCTCGGGTCGCGTCTTGCTGCACTCGGAGGCCGCGGGGCCAGCGTCTGGGAGAGGCGGGAAGGTTCCCGGTCTGTTTCTCCCCCTCACCCCCCACCTTCTTTATTTCGGGTCTCATTAGCTCCTGGCTTTTACTCGGTTTCTCTCATCCCTCCCGGGAGATTAGCCTGGACGGTCGCAAGTGTGGGAGAGGCCCGCCGGTGGAGAGGCCTCGGGGCGGGACGTGTGGAGGGAGCAGCTCTCTGTGCCTCGGGGTTCCACATGTGGCTTTCCCATCACTTCTCAGGAAGTGAAGAGTGAACGCCACTTTGGAGGGCCGCAGACTTGGGGGTCTCCATCACTGTGTGGGGTTTCTACTGGAGAGGAAAACGACTGTAGACCTGGAAAGTGCCCAAAGAAGAGAGCCTTGGATTAGAGTTCACCGGGAACCCAGTGCACTGCTGGGGAAACCGTTGGCCTCTGAAAGTTTGTTAGTAAGGTTGTGTTAACATCTGGTGTTAGTTGCCATCTTGGCCAGGGCGTTTAATCGTGTGCGTTTTTGTTTTTTTGTATTATTTTGCTTTGAGGTTCTCATCCCTCAACTTGGTATGGAAGGTGATAAGTACTGCCATAAACTAGTTGTGAGGCTTTAGATGCAGAGACAAGAAGTTGGGTAACACTTAAAAGAGCCTAGGGACTTAAAAGTGTATGGTTATCAGTCCATTATTAGGTAATTAAGTTTACAGAAAAGGGAGTCTTGTATTTGCCGTTATTGAAAAACAACACATTGAATACTTGCTCTCTGTTTCTAATAAGACTTGAGTTTTTCTGTCATTTTGCTGAATGATTGCCCCATATTTTCTTTGCAAATAGTAATGCCTTTACTAAACATTCTTTAGTTAGGTGAAACTATGGTAGGGGGGTAGTTTGGGTGTGCTTACACCGGACCTTTGCCGTAAGTTAGTTTCCTTTCTAGTAGATTTCCCCTCCTAACCTTTCTTGGGGAGAAGGTGAATAAAGGGGTACCTCATGCTGCCAGCCTTCATTTCAGACCCACGACAAAAACAGCTTCTCACTGTGTAAGGAGGCTGTTACATCCATAAAGCTAGCCACATCCATAAATATTCTGTTTTTCTTCTCAAGTATTAACTGTCCTCTACTTGAGGCCGGATACATTGAAAACTTTTCAAAGTGTGTGTTCAGATTTCCTTCTAAAAGAATATTTCTCATGGCTGTGAATGTGTAGTTGCTTCCTTGAGTGTTAAGTAACTTGTTGGATTTTTCTATTAATACTCTTTTCAGTTTATAGTCCTTTAGATGTTACTAACAGGTTTCTTACTGGTGTCTGCAAAACTCAGTTTTGGCATGATTTCTTCATTAGTATGGAAGTGCTGTGATTGAGTGGCAAGGTTATAGGTTTGAAAACAAGACACTTTTGGATTCAAATCTTGACTTGATAATTAAATATATTTGTGATAATATTATCTCTTGAGCCTCAACTTTTCTCATTTTATTACAGATAAAATCTTAATCTTTGTATAGGTCTGGCTGTCCTGGAACTCACTTTGTAGACCAGCCTGGCCTCTGCCTCTGCCTCCCGCGTGCTGGGATCAAAGGCCTGCACCACCACCGCCAGGCCTATGAATAGTAAATCTTATGCATATTCACCCATCCTGCTTACTAGGGTTTTTGTTTTTGTTTTTGTTTTTTTCAAGACAGGGTTTCTGTGTGTAACAGCCCTAGTTGTCCTGGAACTCGCATTGTAGACCAGGCTGGCCTTGAAATCACAGAGATCCGCCTGCTTCTGCTTCCGGAGTGCTGAGGCTAAAAAGGCGTGCACCACCACATCTGGCTGCTAGCTAGGTTTTTGAGACAGGGCCTCATGTAGCCCAGGCTGATTTAAGCTTGCACTGTAACTTTCAGCATCCTGATGCTCCTTCCCCCTATCTCCCCAGAGTTGGGATTATTGGTATGTGTTAACCATTTCCAGCTCCCTTTACTTTTAAAAGGAAATAGAAAGCTCTTGGTTTTCAAAATGTCAGGATACACATTGATCCTGTGATTCTTAAATCATCAGCTATCATAATGACTGCTCAAATTTATGTTTTATTTTGAATATAAGTTCAGACATGAGATTATAAGATCATTTTGGCTAGTACTACAGTATTTGGAATTTCCAGCCTTTCATATGACTTGATTTCTTTCTCTGGAAATAACAGGTATTTACAGGATAGAGGTACTTACTAAGTCATTTCTAGACATTGAAGAAAATGTTAACTTTGTACAAGATACAGGGCTTTTGCCATTGACAATGGCGAAATCTTTCTTTTTTCAAAAAGTGTGTGTGTGTGTGTGGACTCTCATGCCACAGTTGCATATATGAAAGTCAGAGGACACTGGGTTCTGAGAATCAAACTCAGGTCTCCAGGTTGTGTGGCAACTGCCTATATTCTCTGAGTCATGTCCCTGGCCCCCTTAGTGTCTCTTAATTACAAAATACACAAACCACTAGAGTTCTTTTTAGCTTTAAAATTAACTTTATGTATTTATTGTCAAATGATGTACACAGTGTATGTAGTTGTCCCTGATAAGGGAACTTGATTTTCTTTCATTTTCATGTAATTGTTTTATGCTTTTCATTTTAATATCTCCTGTTAGACATTAAATACATATTTTAGAAACGAACAGAAATTTCCTATTGCTTTTTTTTTTTTTTTTTTTAATTTTACTAAAGTATTTCTTGGCTTCAGGAGGGGTTTTGGAGCCGTGTTACAGCTTTGATTCGGAGGGGAGAGACAAGAACCTATGGTTGTTAACCTAAGATATTGCTAAACATTAAAATAGTTTATTAAAAATTTGTTATTTTGTTGGGCAGTGGTGGTCCATGCCTTTAATTTCCAACACTTAGGAGGCAGAGGTAGGTGGATCTCTGTGAATTTGAGGCCAGCCTGGTCTACAGAGCAAGTTCCAGAATAGCCAGGGCTACACAAAGAAACCCTGTCCAAAAAATAATGTTATTTTGACTTTATTTTGTTATGCATGTTCATACAAATGAGGATGTGAAGAGAATGATAGTTATAGGCTACACAGAGAAACCCTGTCCAAAAAAAAATGTTATTTTGACTTTATTTTGTTATGCATGTTCATACAAATGAGGATGTGAAGAGAATGACAATTATACTCTGTGGCAGTGACAGTGCCCATTTCCTTTCCTTTCCTTTCCTTTTTTTTTTTTTTTTTTTAATGCATTTATTGTGTGTGTTTGTGTATGGGCATGGGGTAAGGTCAGAGGACAGCTTGAACGAGTTGGTTCTTTTCCTTTATTATTTGGGTCCTGGAGATCACACTTAGGATTGTCAGGCTTGGCAGCAAACACCTTTACCAGGTAAACCATTTTGCCTGCCCCAGTACCTTTTTTAATTTTAATTTTATTTTTTGCTTTTAAATAATCTCTTGTGTAATACTTTCTGGGAGATGTGAACCAAAGTCTACTTAACTCCAGATAGGGAACTGATAGGCAGACTGAAGACCAAAGTAAGGATACCAGCACCATCCAACTTGGTGAACCAGTATATTTTATGGGGTGTACTTTCAGGAATATGGATGAGATGTTATTTACAGAAGAAGAAATGACTCAAAAAAAAGCTATTTGCAATTGGTCTGAGCTTTTTCCAGGTAACTTTGCTTGTCTGAGTGTCTTCTGGGCCTCTTAGCTGGTCTCTTTAGGGTGTCTTTGGTCTGAGAATGTCTCTCAGGAGTCTTCAGTACTTAATTCCCTTGAAAAGGTAGCAGTCTAGGATACCTGGTTAGTTTCAGGAACTTCCTGAAGCTTTTGGATTATTTTCTGAGCTTCCCTGCAGGATGGAATGTTTCACCTCCCTTTAGAATATTGTGTCTTAAGATCTTCTCTCCAACATGGAGGTTTAGTTTGGAGGAAGTTGTTGCACACTACCATCAAAAATTATCTTATAGAGGTGAATGAATAAAACAGGAACTACTGAATAGTTGAGCATGTAGTACTGAATTGAAAGACTGCTTACTAGCAAAAAAGTAATGCTTAAAAAATAGTAAAATTAGAATCTAAGGCTTGAGATTCCCATTTATCCCCCCCCCCCCCCC